TAGACTTATTATCGCATGCACTCACGTGATAATTTTCGCATTAAATTAATTGAATTTCGCAAATTAGGTCATATTGAAAATATCATATTACGTTGTGTGCCTTAATTTTATAGTATTAATTTGAAATTATAGTGTGTTACCTCAATTTGTGATTAAGCATATGTTATTACAGGTATAGTAGAATTATTTACAAATTTATAGACAAACATTTTTGGAAACAAATCGTTTCTAATAACTTTTCGATAATTACATAGAAAATACTCTCATTTCCTAAAAACTCCCCACAAAGAGACTCTTCAATTATTATTAATCTTTACGGTTTTTATTATGATTTGATAATTAATTGACAAGTCAAACTATAACATAAAAAAAAATCAATTATACCTAAGTTAATAAATTTACCAAAGATTAGTTTTTCAAATACATCAGACAAGCTATTTTATCGGTAAATAAATTCTTGATGACTTATGCTGCAGCATATTAGAGTCACCCTCTATGTAGGAATTCCCTTCGTTCGCGGAATAGCGTTGGGATAAAAAAAAGTTCGGATAAATAATGCGGCAGATTACGGCTATCGCTTATCTTCGAGAGGGTCTGTTTGGCCCTATTTCAGTGCCACACAGCGACTTTCGGTTGTTTACGACGCCCTTATCTCCTACTCACGCTATCCTTCGAAATCTCGACTTCATTAAAAAGTGAAAACCCGAACGATTTTGCTTTTCGGAATGTTGCGAATTGGAGCGTTTTGCTTTTTATCGATGTATAGGTCGATTTCCTTTAAAATAAAACAATTTATTTTGACTTGTATTAATCGACGTGTCAGTTAATTTTAATTGCAAATTGAAATTGTTTTAGAAGTTCGTTTTGGAGCAAAGTAAAAATATTGCCATCGATTAGAGGGGTGTTATTGCTTCATTTGAAAATGGAAATTTGTTCTTTCATTTCCTCGCAATATAAAACACGATTTTTACAGTTTTTTTTGTATTTATTTTACTCTCTTTTGGTTTACGTTTGCGCAAGTATAAATAGTGCTTTTAACAGACTGGTTATCGGTGATGGTCTTTTAATTTAAAAATTGTAGGTTCAAATATACTGCTCCACAAAAGTTAAGGAAGTTGACAAATATTGAGATTAATACAATAGCAAAATTTGCTAACTTCCTTAACTTTTGTGGAGCAGTTTATTTTAAATGTATCTAATACATGATGATGAGGAGTATTGTATAAGTTAATGAGAAAAATATCTGTTGAGGCTAATTAGGCAAGTCCTACAAAAATATATATTTCTAATAAAATTAGTCCTTAACAAATAACAATTTCAGGAAAGGGTTATTGAAGTGTTATTTTATCATTGAGTAGGGTTTAATTTTGTAGTTTTTGGATTACAAAGGGTAAAGTGAAAAGTTCTCGTCCTGACAACGAAAGAAGCGATCTTCAGTTGAAAAATTATAGCGTTCTAAATGGTTTTAGACAGTTCTAAATAATTTTAGACTGTTGTTAATGATCTTCTATTAGTCGAACTTACATTATTTCGTTTATTTTTTCTAGCTTTCCGTAACGAAATTTGGTAAAAAAAAGCGAAGTGTGTAATTAAATTAACATATTTTCTTTTAGCCGCTTTAAATATTTAAAATCCTATTCAAAGTTAATTTGCCGCTCGTAGGGAACTTCCTTCGGTATAGCTTCATCAACTCCCGGCTAATTTTTTTCGCTCTCTCAAAAGACGCAACGGAAGCGGCGTCAGCGACGTTTAAATATACTTTTATTTAATTTTTCGTTTGCCGCTCCTTTTTCTCTTCTTTTTCGAATGCAGCTGTGTGCATTTCGTTAAAATTGCCGCCGTTGCGCCGCGAGTTTCCAGTAAAAATAGTCACTCCCGGCGACTAATTGGACGGAAAGGTAAATACACGTTCTTACCGTTGCTTTACGATTTTCACTTTTTCCGCGGACTTTCCGCCCGTCGGCGTTTCGGCTCGTTTAGATGTCTTGCTATTTTCGTAAAGCCCTCGTTACTCTACATTCGCATTGAAAAAAACTCGGCAACGAAATGCTGGATGTCGAATAATCTAATAATATTTACTAGTTAGGTCTATTTGCATTTTTTTTGGTCTTCCGCCTGTTTAAATTGTGCTGGATTTTTAAATACATGTTTGATGAAGATGCTTTTTGAGAGATTTGTAATGGTAAGAATTATAAAGAAGTTGTAAAACTATTTCATTGCAACTTTTTATTATTGAATAGTATAATCTTTATAATTTTTATTAATTGGAGTGTACGCAGGTTTCTTAAAGATATAAATTTCATTTTCATGTTGCCAAGATGGTTCTCGTATTTTGACTATCTATATACAGAAAATTAGGCGATTTGGGTGAAAATGCGTCCTAGCGTGAATTACAGAGGATTCTGCGGGCGTTCGCCCATCAAATTTTCCTTGATATTCGTCGACGTTCGCGATAAAATGTCAATGGAAACGGTCCGACGAAATATGACATAATAGAGGTGGAAAACTCGTGATGTATTTCGCAAGATAACTTTTCTCGTCCAATCAAATTTTCGTTTCGGCACTCACCCTTATTATCCTAATTGTATGTTGGGAGAAAGTCCTTTTCGTGAATGCGCTATAAATGAACGTTTCGAATTTAATAGGCAGCGAGAAAATATATTACTTCGGTGACTTGGAATATTATTTCGGGAAAATTGCGCAGATAAATTCGCCTCACGGTTTAAACGATGATAACGAATTTCTCCGAACAAATTAGAAAAATTGGGCGCAAAGTAATGGTTCGTTCAGTATTTAGGGGTAGAAAATGTTTCGCTTTTATTGATATTAATTGATAAACTTATTATAAATTTTCTACAGAAAATATTTCTGACTCAATTAGCAATTTGTCAAATTATTAATTAATTCGGTTCGTTCAAAAAAAGAGATTTAATCAGTTGACCCCATTATGTAGCAATAAAGTTGTTAGATTTAATATCTGCTCGAGTTTTGTGTGCCATAAATATATTTTTACGTAATTTTATTTTCCATCAGTTAGACACAGAAACATGAGCGTTGTATGTAGGTACGTTTCGTGTTATTTGGTAATATAAGTCTTCAAAAAAGGGCTCTTTAAGGTCTCTTAAGAATTCTACGCGTTAGTAAATCCAATGGGCCCGATGTATAAAAATAATTTCACTTAGAAATTATGGAAATTGTGATGAAGGAGTGACACGAACCGACTACACATAAAGCATAACGGTGTTGTTTCGCATAGAAAATTTCCGCAAGAAATTTAATAAATATTCAGTGTGGGTGGAAAAATTTGTTTTCACGGTTGCCTTTATCTTTCAGGCGTTCTTTGTTTGCTTCCAAATAAATCTGTAGATTAAAATTTAGCGTGAGAATATTGTCAAAAATATATTTTCTGGGTGCTATCGAGAAATAAACAGTAAAGTAATTCACGAGATTAATCGATTTTAAATTGCAATTTATTCTCTATACACTTAAACTGTACCAATACCATCAACGTTTAAGACCGCAGAAGATTTAAACCGATGCATACAAAACGCTTAAGTAAATTTCTTTTCCAATTAAATCGAATGGAAAACCAACTCTCCGTGAATAATTTTATTTGTTATTTGCTTCATTAACTTTTCTAGTTAGTTTTAAATTAACTGCGGGATAAGTTAAGTTCGATTCATTGTTGAGGGATCGATAAATATTTACATCGGATATTGACTGCATGATGTTCGCTAACTTTAGCTCAATAGACCTATTCAGTTTACGAAAGAGAGTGATGGAGTTATTTGATCAACATAAGAGAATAAAAGAAACAAATATGTTTCACGCGCAATCTGTGGAACCATTTAAAATCTGCGCAAACATAAGTGCAAGAGAGATGAGATATTTGGCCTATTTCTTTGCTGATTGACAGACACATTGAATGAATCTTAGATGAAAACTGTTTTAAATATAAAAAAGAAGAGACCAACTTCAATCTTAACCCTATTTTGTTTTCGTTTGATGTTTGTTTATGTTCAGTGTGTATTATTTTTAAACAGTATTTCTTTGTATTATTTAGTATATTTATTTATAAAGGTAATAATTTTTTGTATAGGTCAATGGGATTATTTTTTTGAAATATATATTATAGCAAACCGATCAAAAAGCATTTTCGGAAACTTTGTACTAACCCTCTTACTCTTTCTTAGACTTGACTTGTACGTAAATATTAAGCCTATAACCCCTTTCTGGGCAGTAAAAACAAATTTGTATCGAGTCACCGCGTCCATTAAATCCGACGGATTGTTGGATAATGACAAATGACGTCTTAAGTTGTCGTTGTCTGGTTGTCAGAACCGTATTTTACCTGAGGTGCGTTCGTTTGTTCGTTTAGATGTCCAGCTAATTGTCCACAGTATGCGCGCGCAGCACAGGTTAAACTGAATAGGTCTATTAAGTATTCCAAATAAGCTTAAAAAACTGATGCTGAATTATTTATTTTGTTAATTGCATCGCGAAAAAGGCAAATGAATCGCGCTCTCTAATTGCTTGTGATTTAATTACGCTGCAGGTAATCCAATTGGATTGAATCATGTGTAAATAATTTTATTTAATAGTATGTAGTATTTAATTAGTGTCTTATATTTGAATTAATATTCTTTTCTTTATTCCAGGTCCTCTCAAACTCCTCGTCGTCCATTATAAGTCTTCTAAGTCCTAAGTATAGCTCAAAAAATATTTAAGTATACATTAATTTATTAATAATATAATCAAAGAAATATATAAAAAATGATTTATTGTTATATAACCAATGGTTATTTATTTTTCCATTATTTAAGAGTTTAAAATTGAGCGTACAAGTGTTTTAATCCATTGACATAATTGACTTGCAAGTAAATATGAATGAAAATGCAAGCGCCGTTCAACTGTTTTGTTAGTAAAAAGAATGAAGAAGTACATAACGACCTTACGTTGTTCGAGGTCAATGCCCAACGCACACTAGATTCAGAATTCAGATGTCTAAGTAAGCCTAAGCCTACTTTGCGCCAGTGCGATCTCAGTTGGCTCGGAGGTTTCTTCTTAAAACAATCGTGACGTAACCGGTCGGCGCACGTGCCATTGTTTGTTGTTCGAAATAACGTGGTTGTGATTGCGATTCTTCCATCCCGAATAATATATTTATCGTTTGTTATTTTTGTATAATTTGTTACATTGCCGTCGGTTTTGTTCGGAGAGGTTTTATGTTATGGCGGTTACTTAGGATAGACTGTAGACTATAATGGGTGAAGAAAATCCTAGAAGACTGAGCCAGAACTTCGATCCGCTTAGTAGACTTGGTGAATTGTCTCGGTAAGTTTGTACAATTGTTTAAATTATACAGGGTGTCCCAATGAAAAGTAGCCCCTTTAGTGAGATAATAATTTGTTATTGCTTAGTCATAAAAACATTTGAAATGTCCTTTCTTAAATTGTTTTTATATAATTTCTCATTCATTGAAACACCTGTCTTCAAATTTCCACTTCTGTACATCCAAAATCTTTCAAACTACTGCGAAAAATAATTTTTTGCACGTCTTCTATTAATCAAAATGCATTTTCTGATGTACAAATAATATTATTTTTGGCAAGTAGCGTCCGTACGGGTTTTGCATTGAATATTTTTGGAGAAAAAAATGATACGCCACTGCCTAATATTGAAATCAAAATTATTTTCGGAATGTTCATTCAATTTAAAACAAATTTGATTTTTTGATTTTTTTTCGTACGACTCATCGTTAAAAAAAATAAATAAAAAAATAAATGCATTAATTTGTACATTAGCCCTGTGCTAAAATTAAAAAAATACAAAATTTTAGGTTTAGGACAGATATGTCCATTTAAATTTTTTTTTGAATGGGTCCCAGAATAACCGCCTTAAATATTAGCATGACATTATGGAACATCCTGTCTAGTAGTTATAATTGTTTTGCAACTTTCCGTTACATCCGTCGATGAACTAAATCCTACGGATACTGAATTCTTGCAAAATAGCTATAATTTTAATTCAGTTTTTGGTTTAAAATGTTATCATATAGATGTCCGTTTAAAATTTACGATCGCATTACATCGGATCTTTTGGATTCCCTTATTGCAATGTCTCGGAGAGATTCTTGGTTTTTACGGCCGTTTTTGATAGCAACGCCGCGTTACCAATATCAATATTTTACCAACTTCATCGGGGAGTGTGTACATTTCACTTCTCTCGACTTTTTCCGTTCCATTTACAATAAAATACGCGTCCGTTCTCGTCAGCATAATCGAGTTATAAAGGATGAACTTGTATATAGGGTGTTCCAAAAAGGTGTGGCAAACTTAAGGAGGTTATAGAGGACATTGTGTTGAACAATTTTTGCAAAGATACCATCAGTCAAAAATGAGCCGTTTTGCTAGAATTACATTTTGCCATTTAAATAGCATATTGCAAATAAATGGCAGTTTTTGATTGCAATTTTCTTAAATATATAATTTGCAAAAATTGTTCACAACAATGTCCCCTATAACCTCCTTAAGTTTGGCACAATCTTTTTGGAACACCATGTTCCTTAAGATTTTCGAAGATCGAATGTTTTGATTGTTTGATGTTTTGATGGGAAAAACCGAAAGGAAACCGTTTTTCCAGATTAACGCAATCCACCCCGTCGTCGCCGAGGCTTTTGCCTCGAAGATTGCGCGACGCGAGTTCGGTGATACCTCCACCTCTGGCTGCCTTCGAAGGTCTGGATGCCGGAGGTCAGGGTAATTCCGGTGCTGGTAATGGTACCGTCAATTGGCAGGAGAGATGCTTGGAACTTCAATTGGAACTGCACAGGAGCAGAACGCAGGCCACCAGGACGAGGGATATGCTTCGAGAAAAGGTAAGTTTCCATCTGATCCATCTGATTCATCTGATTGCACTCTTACTAATTTTCTTTACTTTAAAGAGTATGCCTGGAAAAGTTGGCATATTGGAAACAAAGTTGCCAACTTTTTCAGACATACTGTATATGGAAGTGGCCGAAGAATGCTTTAAAAATTCTTTTGTATTGCCTTGATAATGATTTCGGGATGCTAAAGCTTTACACAAACGACTGAAAAAGTGCAAAAGGCTTTTGATATTTTCGTTTTTCTTGAAACTATTATATTATTAATCATCAGAGTTCTACTATTTGTATACCAAATGCATGAATGTTCAATGTAATTAGATCTCCATGTTATACCGTATCATTTCTTCTGTGTGTTTTGTCGTCGGATTTAACTGGGGACATTCCAAATTAAACTCAAATACCATTTTATTAATCTCCCTCTCTCTCGTTTAACTAAATGTTTAATATTTTGCGAGTCCCCTAATTCAATTAACAGTTGAACAGTATTCAGTTCCGGTCCTATTTGACTTGCTGAAATGGCAATTTCGAACCCTTGCAATATACTTTATGTAAAGCTTTTACTCATTTTAGCTCTCAAAATATTGATAAAAATTTTAATCAATTAAATTAATCAAAATCCTATGATCTAATTCACTTACTTTTGTTATAAAAAATTCATTAGAACTGATAGAACGTTTTATATTCTAAATTTAAAGTTGCTAGTGTAATCGATCCAGGTATTTTCGAATATGGACCAACATGAAGCTCGCGGGAAGTTTTTACGATTCCGACCCAAATACGAGAATATATTTTTAAAGTTATTACTATTGTTAAATTTATTGTTGTCGAGTTACATCCGTAAATAAATATTTAGCCATTTTGTAAACGAAAGTAAAAACGTAAAAACCTCGTAATAAAAGTAACGCGAGTTGCAAATCTAAAATTGACCTCATATAAAAAAACGGGGAAACAAAATAAAAAAGAAATGAGAATAAATTGGGGAAACGAAAGTGACTGGTGTTATTATAGGGGGTTTAGATCAGAAAATATAAAATTCTCGAGTAAAGAACGATATAAAAATACAATAGTCAAAATTTATAAAAATTAAGCATTTACTTTGAAGTAAAAGGTAGATGCAAAAAAGAGAAAAAGGTTCTAAAACCTTATACAAAGATTTTAAAACCATAAAAGCATTTGCTTTAAAGCGACATCAGGGTTCTCAAAGCAAAACCTTTCTTCCTTCTCTTCTTTTTAAGCATTCTTTTCTTTTATCTCTTTAACACACGTTTGAAATGTAAGACACAAAACAAACTTTTGAAGTTTTTTCAACAGACAACGCCCACATTTGACATTTTGACACTTTAATTATGCCACGGAACCTTGATAGTTATCTAGATATAAACTATAAGACAATAAAATATAGAAATATAACATTTCTTTAAATTTGTCGGTGGGTGTATTTTAGTGATTAATTACAAAATTAAACAATGGTTACTCAATGGATAGGAATTGCCTTAAATGCGACTAACCGCCCAGCAATTGCAGTTTAATTTCTTCGAAAAGCTCGCATGTACCCCTCGAATTCCCCCCGGGGGAACGTTCGCTCCTTGGGTTATCTATTTCCTCCTCGACTACGACACGGACACCGATGTCAAATACGCGGAGCCTCCGCGCTCGGAATACTTGATGAGCAGATGAAATAATTTTCGGCGAACGCCCAATTGATTTTAGGCGCTTCAGAGTTGATTTCCTCGAGGGTAATAAACGTGAAATAGCGTTACGGTTATGGACTTCTCGAGGATTTCTATATCCGAAGAAGTGATTTCTCGCGGTCGCTACTACATTGAATGAGCAACTTTTCTGGCAAACGATTTTTTATATAGGTAAGCGGCTCGTGGAAGGAAATTCGTTTCGATTGATGTCATTTTGATGTTTATTATCCGATGACTAGACGAGTTTTAACTCGATCAATTTTAGACTTACATATTTTAATGCTTTTAAGGACGTTCCACCTCTACTGGTAGGGTCAAATAAGTACTGACTTTTGTTGAAATTATTCAGGACTTTTCTTCAATTTTCGGTTCAAGTTTTTTTTTAATTGGAATATCTCGGAAAGTGTTAACTTTAGGTATAGGGAATGGTTATTAAGAATGAAAGTAATTCAAAAATACTTCCTGTTAACGATATAAAATATAGGGTGGTCCCAATAAAATAACAGAGAAAATGTTACTTTTGCGTTTGTATCCACCCTGTAAGCAGTATGATTAAAATTGACGAAAAATATTCATTTTGTACATTTTCAGGATATTTGCAATGTTGTAAAATGTAATATTTACAAATTTAGTGCCGCAAGGACTATGGACAAAAATTCCTACGTATAGAGGACACTTATAAGTATGTGTATACAAATTTTCGATTGAATTGTAAGAAAACTGATTTTTCGAACGTTCTTAATGCGTTTAAATGCGAGTCTTCCCATCAATTTCACTTAGTACTTGGGTCGACTACGTAAAGTAAATGGCATTCATTCGACATTCCAGTGTTTATTGTATGGGGTAAACGAGAACGTCGACGTGCATACGCCAGCCTGATTATGTGCTTGTTGTGGGGTCGTTGGGACATTCCCCCATCCTTTATGACAATCAATGAAGCATTTTCACATCCAATTTTCGTGGGTTTGCATTTATTTATTAATCAATTTATCGATTAATATTCTTCGTTCAACGATAACGATGATAAATAGGGCGCCGAAATTGTATTTGTTAATAATTAACCTCGGGTATATCTACTGAATTTTGAAGAATTTCGTTGAAGCCAATAAGCAGCATATCGGATGTACTTCGTTTAGAATGAAAATTTAACTACATTATATAATTAATCCTTCGGATTATTTCGGATGTTCGCTTCGAGTGCTTTCAAACGGAATATTAATTGTGCTTCTTTATGATTACGAGATTAGTATTGAAAATTTGAATTACGGTCGCATCAGTGAGAATTAATTGAGCTCTACAGGCTGGGATTTGCTTTGAGAAATTTATATGAGCATGTTTGTGTATTTCGTGTTTCATAATTCACATGAATAATCTAACGTATATGCAGTCTACAATGAATGGTTCCTGAAATTTCAATTTTGACAAATTTGTGGGCTCGTTTGTGGATATAATTTATCCATGAATATATAATTAACTAGCTTTTTCAAAGGAAATACACGTTGCGTTCCAATATCCATTTAAAATATTTGTTCATGACCATTTTCGTTTATCATTTAGGTATTACTTTTAATTCATACATTCAAATTTTCCAACTACAATAGCAATTAAAAAGAGCAACATATTTTTTTTTATTTCCCTGTCGCATAATTGCAGTAGGTACAATTAAACTGATGCTTTTATATTACGTGACATGTGTCCATAAAATAACGATGCGGTAGGTATATTTCGAATAAATCCACGCTGAATCCACTTGTAACAATTATGAGTTCATTTGATTTTATTGTATTATAGACGGCAATACCGCTACATGTACACGTTCATTTGCTGCAGTGCGTTTTTATCGAAAGCTTTATTCGTGGATTTTACGGTAAAAAAACTAATAATAGACTTTTAAAATATTACGGGACGGTCTGGAAAATGTTGAAGGAAATATAAATATCAAGATCTTAACTAAATTGCATTAACCGTACCCAAAAAGTTGTATATTTTTTAACTAAAGCGAGGATAACTTATAACAATATTATCTTTATGGTGATCTTTTAAAAATTATTTTAACTTGCCATTTTGCATAGAAATTAATTGGTTAGTTTTTTTATCCTCCTACATCGTCAATAATCCTATTATAATTTTTCCACATTCACATTCGACTAATATAAATCCCGGCCGGTGAAATTCCATTAACTTTCCGTAATTTCGTTTGCATGGGAAACCGGAAGAAAGCCTATTCAGAGCGACCGATCGCGGATTGAAAACGTATCGGCCATAGTTCGGTTCCCGGTAGATCCGAATTTCTAAGGATCTATTCAAAATGCAGGATAAGTAGTCGCATATTTCAACCCGCTGGTCTCTTTCCTTTACTCTCACGTGTCTATTAAGCCCCGGTTAATTACAATAGTCGGTTTTCTGCGGTGAACCGTGTGCTTTATATAGATTCTGCGAAGAACGGTGGGCAGAAAACGGCACTTTACTGAACGAAATACAGGGTGTTTCTTTTATAACCGACTTACTGAGTTTTTTGAATTTGGCCTATTTCTTTCGACGCCTATAACTTTTGAATCACTCAGTATATTTTTTTGTTATATGGTATAGATATTCTATACCTTTAGGATAATTTATTGCCTCATTAAAAAATTACAAAATCCAGGTTCGGATTTAGAAAAATTATTAAAATTTGACCGAGCGTAAAACAACACCCTATACATCATATTAAAAATTGAATTTCAAATTTAGAAAGAGCATAAAAAACTGAATGTATTCATCAACTTTTTATTTTCCCGCATGCCTTTTTTCTACTAAAATTTAAACGTTAAAATGTACATTATGAGATTTTTGGTCCATGTAAAATGTAATTGAAGGGATTTTTATTATTTTTTCATTAATAAAACCAAGTTTACTAAACTCTTTCATGGAAATTCCTGAAATGAACCTATTAAACTTGAATTAAGATTCACATAAACCAATAAAAATTGCAATTACAGATCCGCACTTAAAAAAATTAAAATGATTTCCAACAAAATGCAACCTAATTTAATTTAAATAATTTTTAAACACTCATATCGATTACAAAAATTAATTCCTCATAATAATACGTTACTACCTCTTTAAAATTACTTTATTTTCTATTTACTTATTCTATTTAAAATTACTAAATTACTATTACAAAAGGGGATTTGCCTAGATACCAGTACATTAATCTTGAACGTTTTGCATTGGGACTGCAGCAGTGCTTGCGACGTACGCAGGAATGGCGTTAAATTAGTTGAACCCCCTTTAATCCCATTCGATTAAAGCGACCGAATTAAAAGCAGCCGAATAATAGGCGAGCGATATCCTCCTGTCCTGTATAGTTGCCTTTTGGATGTCGTCGAAGCGTTCGTAGGCAGAGGGCTTCGAATTTACTATTTGGGAGTTTGTTAGTGGGTCGTTCTGGAAGTTAATTATGGTTGTAGGTAATTGCGGGGATTTATACCCCATAAACGGATTGATCAGACGATATTAGCGGGGGAAGGATTATTCTAAAGGGTGGACGTTATACAGGGTGATTCTGAAATAAGTGGTCAAACTTTGGGAGCAAGTAGAGAACCTCAAAATATGATAAAAACTTAAATGTCATTTCAGAATCACCCTGTATATCAAAGTAATAAGGTATTTACAGACAACGAAACATTTCTATATTGGTGCATGATGATTTTGTATCATGTAATTTTTGAATGTTATTATAAATAAATAACTACTATTTCGTTTATAGGTATTTATTTTCAATTTATATTTTGCTTTTAATCGGAATATAGTTTATTAAAACTCTTTTGTATGTTTAATACAGCTTTGATATTTAGGTTTATTTAATATTTACGCGTGTAAACAATGGCAAGCAAAACCGAATGAGATCGATATATCGAAGCTTTGTCGAAGCTCGACAAAATAAAAGCGAAAAATAGAGAAAATTGCTAGCAAATTTAAAAGGCCGGTTATTTAAACGACCGACAACAAACATTAAATTGTGTTAGCGTCTGTGCACTAACGGTTATTGCATTTTATATCATATAAAACTGTCTCGCAGTTGCGGGATAATGAAATCAACGTATTACCTTTATGGCGTATTGCAGATGGTTAATTGGAAAATCCAATAACAATTTTCCGTTCGCATTATTAACAATTTAGCTTTTTAATAAACGTTAATTTTATATTTAAAACTCGTATACAGTGAGATTGTAAAGATTGGAACAAATTCCTTAAATGCTTGAAACGTCGATTTTTATTTTTTTATTTTATTTAAAAAACGGGTCAGAAGAGGATGTGAGTGTTTATATAGGATGTTCCAAAAAAGAGATATGACTTTAACTTAGATGCAAACTTAGATGAAATAATAAGTAGGGCATTCCATTTAAAAAAAATGTAAGTTATAGTCATATCTCTTCTTTGGAACATCCTGTTCTAAATATTCCTCTAAATAAATCCTGTTCTAAATGTTCCAAAGAGCCTGAAGAGTTTTTACCGAATATTCCAGCGTTTCTAATGCCATTACATCGAATAAAGACGTCTTGCGTTATTTGCCAAGAGAGTATATTGCTTAATATCATCAATTTCGAGATGAAAGTGCTTATATGATGTATGGTATGGTGACGTCGCGACGATTCTTTTGAGGCGCCAGTCGTCTTCATTGCAAATCATCGCAGAGTGCGATGTTCCTCTGGAGCTTAACGTCTCGGGAAAACCCCAAATCACGTCTGATTCATAATATACTATATGCCAGTTATATTTATCTATACATGTTCTTTTTGATACATTTTTATAGAATGAAAGTAAATACATAATTTTTAATTTTGGTGGAAGTGGAATTATTTTAACAATCATTTATTCGTCTGTACTAAAATTCTATTTTATTTTATTTGATTCAAGAATTATCAAAATTAAGTTTAGATTAAATCTATATATTAATAATCGAATTTTCTCATTATTAATTTTAAAAATTATCATCCTCAATTT